TAGAGTTTGTTTTTGATAAAGTTCATATTGACTTGTTTAAATGTATGTGGCACATTTCATAAAGAGCTGCTGTCAGCAATGCTGAAGAAACTGTCTTCCTGAGCTGTCTTGTCTAGCAGTGTATTTCAAAATTCTTTATGTGCTTCTTTCAAGCCTTTCCAATTGTCATCTCTGAAACCTTGAACAAGGTAACAATACATTGGAGTTTTCTCAAAGATGTCCTTGAGATTGATTTCAAAGAGACTGGTGTAAGTTTGTTTTTTTTCAGTGAGGGTTGGGGCTGGGCTGGTTTTCTTTCCAGCGTGTTCTTTTTTTATCCTGCTGGTTCGGTAGCGACACAAACATGAATGTGCGTGGAAACGGAGAAGGGGCATTGAATATTGCAGTAATTGGCATTTGTGTATTTTGCGACAAAACACAAAATAAAATACCAGCTGCCTTTACTTGAATGTTTAGTGTACTAAGAAATGACGGAGTACAGCCAAAAACTGCAGATCAGGCCTTGGAGGGTTATACGTAAAGGTCTGAAAAGATAACACAATTATTTGGTACTTCGAGGAGTAGTACTGTATGTAAACGTGGCATAGGAATTGGTCAGGATAAGAATATGAAAAATGCAAGTACTAAAATGTGTGTTTTCTATGGTTTAGGGCCAGCCTTTCAGGCATACATTGGAAGGCCTTTTCTTCTTTTAAAAGATTGTTCAAATTGGAAAAGGCAAAATTAGACATTTAATAAAAACAACTCAAGGGAACAAGAGCCCAGAAAGGGGAGCATTGGCACATAATGTCATTATTGCTCATAGCTGACTTAATAAAAATTCTAGGGCTTGTAAACAAGACTTGAGAGAATATTATTATATGCATAATACTAAATGGCATGTTTTTCACTTCTTAGGACACACTAATCACAAAGTTTTTGTGATATTTAAAACATAAGGCTACGATTGAGTCACAAAATGTGGCGCATTTACAGAGGGAAAACTCTTGCTTGCTCTTGGCCCCTGGGTCTCTACTGTATGTAAATGCCTCGCATGAAAAAAACTTTGTTAAAAGATAAAAGAATTTTCTCTTGAATAACTTTTGTGAGAGGCTAAGTTTGGTCTCCTTATAGATACATAGAAGGAATAATTCTTTTATCTTTATGATCTCTGGAAACAGAAGCTTAATATTTCATGTGCACATGCTATATGTTGTAGGAGCGTATTTTAACATAAGGAACCCTTTTCCTTCAGTTGTAGGGGAATGTTTAATATCAGGAAGCATGAGGCTCACACCAAAACCTCATAAATCTCTTATGTGGTGTTTTAATCAAATAAAGATTTCAGTCTTTCCAATTTATGGGTTGGTATCGTGGGTTTAGCTTTAATCTTGCTGAATTACAGTGGTCTGCATGAACCATCTCAATAACTCCTAGCTTTCCACTAACTTTCCAGTTGCAGTTTGGTAATGCAAGCTTAAGTAATAGGTTGTTCAGTCACTGCTCTCTGTGCAGATATATCTGGCAACAAATACATTGACAAGAGCTGTGCAATGGGAATATTTGGGATTTTCAGTTATATTATCTACCTGATTTCTCAGTCACGCAGTTCCAAACCAATATTACCATAAGCAGGACCTGGCCGAAAGAGACAACTTCTTTTTCTTACGAACTACACAACTCCCTTGTTCAGCTATGATCATCCGGAATTCTAATAAGCGCTTCCTGATTAAGGTTTCCAGAACTGTGCACAAAAAATGTGCCGTTTTCCTTCACACTCCTGTTTTTGTTTGCTCTGGTTGATACACAGTTTTGAACCATGCTGTAGACCACAAGACTATTTAATCAGGATTTTCTTCTGGCTACTTTCCTGTATAGGCCAGTTTTGACCCATGGACATGTTCTTCCTTCTTAGTCATTGACTTCTGTAGCTCTTTCCAAGTCACCAGGCCTGACTGGGGCATTCCTAGCCAGCTTCCACCTTGCCCTGCTTCTCAGTCCCTGGGTAGTGTCTGGGTGGTGTAATAGCTATTTTAATGATAATCATCACTATGCTCGAAGAGATATTGTGTTTTCCAACTTTTTAATGATCCTAGGAACAGTTCTAGCCGCCTCCTGATCTGTGTGACAACTTTATCCCCGAGTTGATTTGAAAGCACACTGGCCTTCATGGTTGAGTCGCTGCTATTCTTACTTGAAGCAGAATAAAAACCTGAGACAGGTGTCTTTATTCTGAAATGACGGGTGCCAGTATTATTTCACACACACGGAGGCCATTGAAATAAGTGTATGACTTGTCAGAGCACCTGACCTACTTTAGGTTTTTCAAAGCAAGGGTGTGAATGCTAATGCAATCAGCATATTTTAGTTTTTGATTTTTCTTCATAGTTTTTGCTGACATTTAACTTCTTCCACCCATAAAGGGGTTCAGTATAAGTATTCAAGTTTTTATTAACCTATTCACTTGATGTCTATACTATACGTACATTATTTATAATTTAGTTAAGGGGGACATAATTGGAAGGAGGTGAATACATTTGCGGGGCAAACGAATGCATACATATCGAGTAGTACATGTTCTGATGTTAAGTGATCTGAATTCATACAGTCACATTAACTACCAATCCACTCCCTTATCTTTGCTGTCATTTCAAACTATCTGGATTTTTCCTTAACTATGTTCCGTCCATCCATTTTCCAACCATTTCATCCAGTTCAGCATTGCGGGGAAGCCAGAATCTGTCCCAGCAGGAGATAGCTTGGATGGAAAGCGTTTCCATCCCAGGACACACAAACACAGATAAGCCTACACTTACACCGGGTTATTTAACCTGTCAGTGTAGGTTCATCACTGTGGGAGGAAACTGGAGCACCCAGTGAAAAACCCATGTGATTCTGGGAAGAACATGTAGCATCCCAAGCCTGGAACTGAACCCAGGACCCAGTGTTAAGAGACATCAGTGCCACCATACCTCTCCAACTATGTTTCAAATGTTTATTATTCGTTTAGCTTTCTTTTTCAGTTAAAGAAAAAAAAAACAGAACATTATATGGGGCAACTCTACTGTCAAAGTAAACTTATTATTGCATCTTATAAAAATATACTTAAAAAATAATTCATTTTATTATGTAGAGGTTAGCCTAACTAAGTTAAGGTCCCTTATAATGTCTCCAGACTTACAATAAGTCGATTAGCAGTGACACTTTTGGGACATTCCCTTTTGATAACCTATTCTTGCTTAACATCTGCTCTTTTCTGCTGTTAAGCACTTTTTACACTTATGAGCAAGTGGTGTTAGATGTTAAAATCGCCCCTGCCAGTGTAACATATAGAAAACTTGAGTGGTCATCTGCTGTAAATGAGCAACTCCATTACTGTTTCCTCTAAGCCCCATTTGATGATAGCTGTTGTTATAGTTGGTGTCTAAAATAAAGTTTTCTTCTTTACCTTCTTCATCTTATTAGTGATAACAGATATCCAGACTGATCTAATCTCACATACAGTGCTAAAATGCTCCAACCTAACACGGGTTATCTAACTGTGACAATGAAACACCTCTAAAAGGTATATTAGATGTATATGATTTTCTTATAGTTTTCTTCACTAGCATGTTCCGGAGTATTTTGCATGTCTTACTGGTCAAGTTAACCCGTGCGAAAGCTGGTCTCATAGCTGACGGATTGTGGGTTACGGTCTCTGATGTGAGCTGGCTTTGGTACCTGAAGCAACTTGCTTGTACAAATGAGATCCAGCAATATACTGGCATCTTGTTCAGGGGTTCAGAGTTTCGTTCTCTCTCATCCATTTAACACCATGGAAGACAGGGTGACCCTCAACAACCCTCAACAATAGTGGCCTAGAACTGTCCACTCCTACGTATTTCATTCAAGAGCAACTTTGTATGCAGGTAAGGTGTCCTAATACTGTTTAGGCAAACATTCTGAGCCCTTAGAAAATTCTGGTATTCTAAAACATCACTAAATTCGGGAGTGATTCAAGATGAAACAGAATTCTCCATCGATGCTTACGCTGCCAACTTGTCTGCTTTTTTTAGAATGTGCTATGTATGTAATATTAAGCAAATACCATGGAGCTGCAGTGTGCAATACAATTTCTAGAAAAGAAAGATCATTGCATTAGATCGCTAGTAATCACACCCATCTTCACAAATATTTTTAGTACCGTCAGTCTGTAGCTTGTAGATATGATGAAAATAGAATACGGACAAAACAGTTAAAATACATATTAATAAGTTAAGAATCTTTTCTCTGCAGACTAGCTAAGTCTAATGCCATATTAAAACATCATAAAATCAAATTACCTCATTTTTTTATTTCAAGTGAAGTAACATCAGGATTATTTTCACAGCTTGTCGATTACACAATTTAGTAAGACTACGGAAAATATTTTTCCTGTAAGACTCAACCCAGTATCTTCTGAGACATTCAAGGGTATAATTTCAAATGTTTTTTTTTTGCCAAGTATCACTTTTTAATAGTGTTAAAAAACTCCTACACAACTAGAAAATTATAGCACTTAGCTTGAGTAAATGAAAAGAGTTTTTTTTAAGTGTGAAAAAGGAAAATAATATTTGAACCAAGTACATCTTATAAAATGTGAGATTCTGAAAGCACTGAGTATTTACTGTAACCAGTTTCAAAACCATTCAGCAAACTAAGGATCCTGTTTCCAGTGCATGTTCTTGATCACTTCATGAAAACCATCTTCAATTTAATCTACAATGATATGGCAGTCTTGCAAGCAGTTGAAAAGTATTCTCTGACCTTTGTGTTAAAGACTACTGAGAGACAAATTAATTCTTGGAAAATTTACTTCAATAGTTGATCTTCTTCATTTTGGTTGGATTGGTTTGGAAAGCATTTCCATATTTGGTTCGATATGCTCTTAATGATTTTGTCTGATTGGGTTGCAAAATAAATATCTTGTCTCATTGCAAAACTCTTGCATTTAGGTAAATCCTTTCACTTTCAATTAAATAAACAGTCAAGATCAAAAAGAATTCTGATCAAACCCTATTGTTTATTAGTGTTTTACAGACTGGTTCATAAAAATGATTGTTTGAGTAATCTGGGAGATCAGAGATTTTATCCAAAACAATCAATGAGATAAGTGAAAGGTGTTGCTAATTGCTTATGTCTTGTCTTTAATTTTGTACTTTCTGGAACAAGATAACTTTTTAATACAATAAAAAAAGAATTGAAAAATTATTGTGCTCTTATTCATTTTTGATGGATCATATAGCCCTTGAAATCCATCAAAATGCTTCTTTTGTATGCTTGGCCTCACCGTGTTACAGGTTAAACCCATTGTTCTTTTCTCTCTGTGTTCCTTCCCTGCTGTGGTTTTCCACATGACTGCACTGAGACTCAGGAGTGCTACAATGTGTACCGCAGTACAAAAACACATGTAAGCCATTCTGAAACATATCCATAATAAAGTACACAGGTAACATCTATAGAATAACTTAAAAAAATACAACAGATGAAGACATGTCAAAACATCCTAATATGGTTAAAAAATTCAAAAGCTTCCTCCCAGATTTTTAAGGCTTTTTAAATGTGTAATTGGACTACTCAATTATTTCTAGAATCCCCTCGAAGACATAATTGGATGATGCATGAATTTCTCATAACAGTTCAATTCAGGGGTAATGTTTATAAGTGGTAATAATGCTGAATATGTTAATAGTGCCTTAATGGGTTCTTCCAACTGGACTGCTTAGTCATGCTTTGTTGTCACAGTGGAGATTAAAAGTGTTGGTGCAGAATAATTCTTCATTAAAACAATATAAAACACTCATAGTTTACCAGCTACAAGGCCTGTTAATGTTACCAGTTTTATATAATACTCTATATATACACATATACATATATTGGTGATGTATAGAAATGATAAAATCCCATTTTACATTCAATGTTCTCATACCTATGCACTCTGAACACATTTTTACCCAACAGCTTTACTTGTCTGCTTCCGTAGCGTGTTCAATGTTGAGAGGTCATTACACGTTTGTGGCGGGTTCATTAACAAGTCTCCCACAGGGGAGTAATTATGACACAGCTGCATGGATCAGTGTTTAACATATTTTAGTACTGGAATTCAGGTACATTAGTAACCATGTCCTTCAGTTCTGTAAATAGCAGATATACATGTTCTATTTTTCTGGAAATTCTTGTGCAACCTGCCAGGTAAAACAAAAAATAATAAAAACTAGTAATATGTTCATTTTTCATGTGGTTTGACACAACCCGAAGAAAAAGCTTGTGAATAACAAGACTGCAGCTTACAGTAAAAGCTGCCAGACACTTTTATTATGTAAAGAATACATTCATCCTCAGGTCTGTAGGATTAATTTCGGGGCCCAGATATCAGCAGAGCATGTAATGACTTGCTACCACAGCACTTTGGTAGGAAAATTAAATCAGAAACGATGAATCTCAACTGTTAGTATTGTGCAGTTTGACTCGTGACGTCTGCAAAAGATATGCAACACAGGAGAAAAACAACAGTCAGGGTGATTTCTAAATGGATGTACCATTTCATTGAACAGTGCAATTGTTATCCATCAGGACAGGAGACATTCATTTGAGACACAAAATAATAATGAAGAAATTGTCTCTGAAATCCATGGTTAAAACCTGATACAAACAGGTAGTTTTTCTCTTTTCTCATTTTCTTTTCTTACAGCAAACGTTGCAAATATAGAAATTTATCTGTACATAGTTATTTTGAATGTAGGACTCACTGATATTACTTTACGCTACGGAGTGAAAAAAAATGTGTGCATGTGGATGTAGCTCTCTGACAAAAAAACAAATACACAGAGTCTTGCATACAGTGTTCAGCGGACGTTTTAGTTTGTTTTTCTCTCAAAGTACACAACAGTTAATCCACAGTCACGGGACACAGCCATGCGATACCCAAAGGATAATATTCCAATGCTATTATTTGAAAAAGTCTTTTCTTTAAAAAAATGATGGTGAAGTCAAGTTGTACAGTTTATTCTTTCTATTTCCTTCCCATTATTTTGGTACATAGATACTCACTAGCGTGAGACTTTCTTTTTCATGTCCAGAAACGCATTTCGAATAAAAATAGCTGCGGAAGTATTTTTTCTCTATTTTATTTTCTCTTTTTAAACCTCTTTAAGGTTTGTTTGTTTTTTTCCTAGCTTGTTCTGTTTCATTTTGGTCCAGATCTGAAAAGAAAAGTCTGAGTGGAGTCAGGATTTGTGCTGGGCCGACACGCCTTTCCAGTAGTCTAAAATGTCATGCAAGTCCTCGTCCTTGGCAAACTGGACTTTCTTCCGCAGCGCGTGCCCAGCTGCCATGTACTCTTCCTCTTTGTGGCGCTTGCGGTGGAGTTTAAACCTCTCCCATATGCTGTGTGCTGGTTTGCAGGTGTACTCGGGACTTGAGGAGTAGCTGAGGTTGTGGTACTGGGGCGACAGCTGGGAATAGGTCACGTCTCTGGGCCGGGGGCGAGTCAGCGGCTCCAGGATGGACGGTTTGCGGCTCCCGTGCCCCTCGATCTGCTCGCCCTGGTGGGAGCCGGGGTACGAGTGCCGATGCTCGCTGTACTGCCTGATTTTCTCTGCCTCCGCTCTAAGGATGGCTGCTGCCGGTGTGACTGTCAGGATGCTGTCGGCCGTGGGCGACGTCTTCTCGATGTACTTGGCTTCCGACTTGTAGGCTCCCTCCGAGCGGAAGGACCTCGGGCTTCGGATGGAGCCACTGGAGGACGTGCTGGAGCGCTTCGGAGCCGCCTCCATGCTGTGATGCCTCTGCAGAGGGTGGTGGTAGCTGTCTTTGTACACGGGGGACAGAAAGCCAGACTTGCTCTGAGGCTGCTCCGAAATGAGCACGAGCTGGGGCTCTGCAGTGGACACAGCTCCGGATTTGACACCCTGGAAGGAGGTCGAATCGGATTTGAGAGCGTCGATGCAGTTGTTGATGATCTGATTGACTTTGTCCACTTCTTTAGCTATGGTGGAGATTTCTGCCACCGAGCCTTGGTTGTTCCCGGAGATAGATATATCACACTCCCGGCGATCGGGCTGCTCCCCAGTCCGCACCTCAATATAATTCCCTTTCGCTGTTTTGGGGGTTTCAATAATATCCTGAAGCTTGTACTGCTCCATTTCACCTGTGGAAGGCAGGTACGGCATGCGGGCTATGTTCTCTCCAGCCATCATCTGCTTCTGGGTGAGCTGGGAGATCGTCCCGCTCTCGAGTTCAGCTCCGTATTTCAGTTCGATGATGTTTTTCTTGATGCTGCCGGATTTCTTGTGCTTCTCATCTTGCTGCCGTTTCTTCCGCAGGCAGTAATACACGAACCCCAGGACAATGACCATGCCAAAGAGGCAGCCTAAGATGGTCATGATGTAATGGGTGGCAGTGGAAGAGTTGGGCACGTGGTCCTTCCCGTTCTTGGGGCCTGTGTTGATCGTCAGACAGGTGTGGTTGAAGCGCAAGGAATAGCGTATGGAAGCCACGCAGTACGTATAGCTGGTGTGGGCTTTTAGCCCCGTCAGCTCGATATCCTCCTTCTGGTTTCGGAGATTCTGAATATCGGTGAAGAAGCTGTTGTTGTAGAGCACAAGGATGTACATCTTCTTGAAGGGGTGCGGGATCCGGACCGTAAGGCTAGCGCTGGTGTGGGTTACATGCTTAAGTTCTATATGGGGTTTCATACTGGGGTCACTGTGAGTTGGGGTAACTGTAATTATTGCCATGGTTTCAGCTCCAGAACCGCAGTCCTCAACCTCGCAAGGGGTCGGGGAAGGAGGAATGGAGGTGACAATGTAAGGGGGTGGGTTGTAGTTGGATTGCTCATAGTCCTCGGAGCACAAGGTGGTAAGTTTCTGCAGAGCGTTGCGATAACTGGGCTGATTGGGATTCTGGCTGAGAAGGCTGTAGCCGGAGTAGTCCGGCGGGGAATCACACAGCATGCGCTCGCTGGTCCTGTTGGGGAAGTTGGCAAGCCACTTGAGGAAGCCCAGTAGGTCACAGGAGCAGCGAAAGGGGTTGGTGTACAACTCACACGTAGTCAGCTTGCCCAGGCTTGCGAACGTCCCGCCATCAAGCAGCTGAATACGGTTCATGGACAGATCGATGTTCTCAATATTGGGACACTCCCAGAAGGCATTGGAGGTCACCGTCTCAATCAGGTTGGCTTGGAGGTAGAGGTACTGCAGTTTGCCCAAACCCCTGAGGATTCCCTCTGTCAAGTTCCTCAGCCTGTTGAATCCCAATTGCAGGACTTGGAGGTTAAACTGGGCAGAGAAGGCCCCATCTTCTATATAAGTAATCTCATTCTTAGTCAGGTTTAGGTAGGTCAGGTTGCCAAAGCGACTGAGGGAGGAGTAGTGGATGCTCTTGATCTTGTTCTCATTCAGACGGAGGTCCACGATGGTGCTGTTGATGTGCTGTGGGATGGCCTCATAAGGTGGCTGGTTTTGGCTGCAGATCGCCAGCCATACAAAGCCCTTTTCTCCCTCAATAAGCCAGCAGTCTCCCCTGACCCCGGCTATCTGCGTGAAAGAGAACAGTGCCGCCCACCAGTATAAAGTAGTCATCACTATGCCTCCATAGCAAGCCATTTGTCCTGCTCCAGCAGCCACGACAACTGCAGACAGCTATCCGGTCAGTGTTATTTTTCTTGAGACTCAAAAAGGCAAGATAAATGATCTGAAGTCTCTGACTGAGCAAAGACAACCTCGCTCGGTTCAATGTAGGCAAAGATTAATAAACGTACTGACAAGTCAGCCGGTAAAATGGAAATGGCAGCAGCGGGAAGATCTTGTTAAGACGTACCCCAGCTGTATTAAAGAAGGCGGCTGCATCCAGCCTGCGGAGCAAGCTTTGCTGGGCCGGGCGGCTGTATTGGAAAGCGATGTCTGAGTTTCAATATATCACTGCTTTAGTCTGGTTTGTGCTTATTTCCCTTGTGGTCAACATTTCTGATCAGCCCTGTATTTCTGTCTCTTTCTTTTTCCCTCTGCCCCACATTCATTTATGGGCTTCAAATGCGATCCTGCAAAACAGGAAAAGACAGAGAATTACTTTCCTCATCCGGGGAAAGATGAAACGTACACCATACAACACAAACATTAATAGCAATCAAACATTTATTAATAGCATTGTAGTTTTAGGATATTAGGATATAATATTATTAGATAGGATATCTTGGTATAATGTCGTCTGTTACTCTCAGTTTAAAATAACATTTGAAATGGAAACAACCTGTTGAGGATTAGTATGATAATCAGTTTAATTACATTCAGAACAAACATACTCTGTCCATCATTTTATGTCTTGAATATTTTGACTATTTCTCACTTTTGTATTTTGTAATTTACAGTTTTTAACATTCTAGGTCGTTAATACATTATACTGTATACTGTATATATTAAAAATCTACCTTGAAGTTTTAATTTACAGGAATATATTCTCTGCTAATGGAATTGTATGTACTGTATTGGACACTGTACTCTGTACTCCATAGTGCACCAGTGGTAACTGGATAGGTCTCTGAACTGGGAGGTTGAGGGTTTAAAACTTCCAGCATCGCAGATTGTTCCAATACCCAGCTCTATGACTTTCTTTGAATAATACAATAAGCCTTATTCATTAATAATATTATCAACTTAAATGGTATAGTTGAGCAGAAATATAATTCAATTTAAGAACCCTAATAAGCAATTAAAAGACTGGAAAAACACACAAACAGCAAGTCAGCAGCTAAGTCTGGCTAGTTTTTTACGGTACGTATAAGGATCTACTTCAATGTAACATGGTTATACAGTAAGTTCTTATATCATTTAATCTCATAACCCATCAGAAAACTCCCTGTGGCCTACTCCTATTAAAAGATTTCATTGGTCAATTAGCACCTGACAGGTTAGAGAACGCAGAATGGCCTTGTTTTCACACCATTAGCCTGGAGACTATCAAACTGAGTTGATTAACACAGACTTTTGTATCCCATACTAATTCAATTAGATGGGAGAAAAAAAAAACATCCGACAAAATCGACATTATCTGAAATATACAGAAGTGTGTCACTGGAAATGTCTGTGTACACAAGTGAGTACAATATCCTTCTATCCGGTTTCTAACCCCTTTATCCAATACAGGGCCACAGAGGAGCCAGAGTCTATCCCAGCAAGCAATGGGCGCAAGGCAGGATACCCTCTGGACAGGACGCCAGTTCAGTGCTGTGCACACGCACTAGGGCCAGTTTTCCCAGAAGCCAATTAACCTCCCAGTATGTCTTTGGACTGTGGGAGGGAACTGAAGCACCCAGAGGAAACCCATGTGAACACAGGGAGAAGATACAGGTGCTTTCTCTACACACCCCAGGAATTGAACCCAGGGCCCCAGCACTGCCAGACAGTAGTGCTAGCCAGTTTGCCGTCACACCACCCTGCATGCAATATGTATAACTTGATCTTTATGTGCAGTACAGAAGATACGTCTCTTTGTTGGTGATTGTTTAATTACAATTTTAAGGCAAACAGATGTTTTCTGAACAAGAAAAGACCTACAAGGATTAAGACTCTTTTTTAAAATCCACTTTAGCAAACTTACAGACTGTATTAATATAGTAAGTAGTCTGAGACTGTCAGAGACACATAAATTGTACCAATTCTCTATGCCATAGCAGACACCATCACCATATGAGAGGCAATTTCAGCTTCACAGTTAGATTCATAGTCAGGAGAAAGTGGGATCCATATACACTCCATCCACTTAAAGCACATTTGTATCACAGCATTTGTTAGCAATGACTAACTCAGCTGACGTCTATTTTTTATATCTGTGCAGTGCACCATGGAGTTACTGTACAAGGTGAATTCACTGGTACAACTCAAAACTCTTGGTTTCCCAACACAGTGTTAAGAAAAAGACTTGGTATAATGTCGTTTGTTAGACTCTGGCAAAGGAACTCAGTCTGACAACACAACTGGTAAACTGCACTCATGTCTCTTACCATCTGGCCTCTGCTTTTGCCCTGTAACCCAGTCAGTGCGCTCAATAATTGATGCTGGAAGTCTGTTACACAGTGTGGTGCAAATTAATAACAACCAGGTGACTTTCTGGGAAAAGTGGATGCGTTTTGTTGCCAAACACACAGAGACCCACATGACTTGTGGTAATCTTCACTGGCAGGCTATGAAGACATTGTTTCACGTCTGAAACCTACTGCATGAATAAAAGATATAAATTATTCATGAAGTCTGTGTTATTCTTTGAAAGTTTTCTGAGAAACAGAAGCGAAGTTTCCCTCATTATAAGTAGGTAGCTTGGAGCAACAATTAAAAGAGACGGCAATTTTGTCAGCCGCCTCATAATGAGAATGTAAGCAAAAGACAAATTAACAGAATAGCCCTAGCACTTAGCTAAGCAAAATGCAGCTGCTAGCAAATATCGCTTTTGATATTTTGCCTCAACTCCTGCTTTTAAATACAGCAGCACAGAAGAGTCTATTAAAAAAGTAACTGAAAAGAAAGGCACTTTGTTGTAAACACCTTTGACACAAACCTGACTTCAGGGTAAAAAACAGTATTGTTTTAGTCTGTTCTCTCATTTTCATTACCAATGCATCTTAAGTGCTGCATATGATTATTTCAGGTTAAGAGCTCTAGAGAAAACATTAGATTTAAGTTTTATTTAATTGCATTTAAAGCTTAAACATAGTGCTTTGAACCACAATAAGTTAATGTTAATAAAGAATAGATTAATAAGAAAACATTCTTTGTGAGTGTAATACATTGTCCATCTCCCTACCCCCACCTGCTTTGTTTCTGACTGTGAAAATATGTTTTCAAACTTGAACATTTTATATTTAATTAAAAAAAATCCAATTGAATGCAGCTCATCCTATACACAGTGAAAAAAACCTAAATGAAATGCCAAATAGTAAAAATCTGTTTTAATTATGGAATCCCCAAAAGAGGATTTTTGACCAAAGAAGGATGACTATGACCATGGCGTGTGTCGGTGATGCTGACAACAAAAACGTTTGCACATGTTTGGTGAATGTTAACAATATTTAATTTTTACTCGGATATAGTTGAGGCTATTCTCAAATAATTAAAAACAGTTTTTAATTGCAATAATGTTCGTAGAGGGGTAATGATCTGAGTTAAGTACAGCAACTCAGTGTAAATGGATTGAACTCTTTTTCTGCCCCAGTCAGATGACATCACAAAGCTCTCTTTTACTCTGTGATCAGGGTAAGAAATGAGACAGAGAACTTGACTCTTGAGTCTGACTGATGTTTTAAAAGGAGTGTGCTGATTAGTGTTTGTGGTGAGTTGTTGTAAGTTATTCAATGCTGTGAAACTCCTGTGGAGTTTATTATGAAAGTCTTTATGGATGATGTCACTAGCAGTGACAAGCAAGTAATGAGCTCTGTATTGAAAGAAAATTAAATTCCCCAGGCAGAGCCCTACTGTACTTGTTATAATTTTATTCAGACTAACATCCTGAAGAAGTGATATCTCAGAATCCATCCAGATTTAAAATGATGGATTTGGATAATACCTTACTCACAGATTTCTTGGGTATTTTTTACCTACATTTCTTGTCATTTCTACCTATTTGCATATTTTCATTGTTTAGGTTTTCATTATGAACACATGGCCCTGTTTTATTAGCATTTGGAAACACATTTTGATTTAATATCACCTCTGCACCAAAACATCGTTCTCCAAACAACGGGCATGTCTGCTGGCTTTTATTATTTCATCTGCTCTGCTTTATGAAAAATGTAGTATAGTGATAATCAGCTGATAATCAGCTGTGATGATCAAGATATTCTAAGGAAAAACAAGGAATGACTTGCTATTTTTGAAAGGTGTGGTTTTCCAATGGAAATTATTTTACAGCTACCTGTACATCCAAAGTATCAGTCTTAGAAAGATTGCTTTGAACCACCTTCGAACCAGCAATTTTTCCGTTGTCCTCAATTACTAGCCCTACCAAAAAAGAAGACGAGGAACTTAAAAATTGGACATTAAGACTGCAATGCTCTGTTCTTTACACATTGGAGTCCAGCCTCTAAAAACTGTGGAGGATGCATATACTGTACAGTATGTACAGTATGGCATGTGTGCCTTGCTTTTGTTGTTTTTCGCATTAATTTTTGACAGCTCCATTGCAGCTGACTACATCCGTATCAGCAGCTCATAAGCCGCAAAGGTTAAATTACTGTAATTTCCCAGAAATGCATGTAATGATCCAACATGGCACACGGTAATCACACAGAAGCGGTACTGGGGGGGAAGAATATTGATGCTGGTGATATGAGCCATGCGAAACTCTCCTATTGTGCAATGACCCATTTAATGGCTATTGAAGCTGGTCCCCTCGAAAACAGAGAGCAATAACTCCTGTTCCCCTTCTTGTTCCACCTTTTCTTAAGAGACGGGGGTAATGTCTCATCCAGCCATGTAATATACCTGAAAGTATAGTGTGCTATTAAAAACATACAATTACAGCCTCTCGCTCTCACACTTGGCTGTGTGAGCAGCAGGGTGTTGCAGTGGACAGGGCTCTGGCATCAATTCCCTGGCAAACTTGCAGAGCTTTCCTTGTCAGTGATGCTGGTTGAGTAGGTGGGAGCTGTGATGTACGACCCTTATTTCTTCTTAATGGAATTAGATTTGTTTTCATACTTCAATTATTACATGGACACTGGTGGGCAAAATAAACTGGGTAGCCCTTAACCCGTGACACATAGAAGTACCTAACTCACGGTACAGCCAAGCTGATCTGCAGATCGGAAGCTCCACTCCTACCTTTGTCTCACTTCTTGCATATCATCGAGTGAAATTCAGAAACAGAAAATAATACACGATTAAAAAAATCCTTACTTAGCTTTATCCGAGACAAGATATGTGGCTGCGTCTGTTTAGAAACTGTGAAAAGATCAGTGGAGCTGCCCACACATCCAAGACTAAATTTTTGATTAATGGTATCGTAATTAACAAAGCCTTTTCTTTGTACTTAATAAAACTCTTTTTAAAT